AGTCGCTCCTTCTTCCCTCTTCCTCCCTCCTTTCCTCTCCTTCCTTCTCTTTTCTCCTTTTTCTCTCCTTTCCTTCCCTCTTTCTCTCCCTCCTTCTTCCTCTCCTTCCTTCCCTCCTTTCTCGTCTTCCTTCTTTCCTCCTTCCTTCCTCCTTCTCTCCTTGCCTTTTCTCCATCTTCTTCCTTCTCTCTTCCTTTTCACTCCTCCTTCCTTTCCGTCTTCTCAGTCCCTCTTCTTTTCCTCCCTCTTTCCTCCTCTCTCCGTCCTTCTCTCCTTCCTTCCTTCTCTCTCTTCTTTTCTTCTTCCCTCCTCTTCTCTCCTTCTTCCTTCTTCCTTCCCCTCTTCTTCCCTTCTCTCTTTCCTTCCTCCCTCCTCCTTCCTCTCTTCTCCTCACTTCTTATTTCTCTCTTTCCCTCTTCTCCTCCTCTTCCTCTCCTTTCTTCTTCTCCTTCCTTCCTTCTCTTCCCTCCCTCTTCTTCATTCTTTCCTCTTCCTTCTCCTTCCCTCCCTCTTCCTTCCTCTTTCCTCCTTCCTTTCTTTCCTTCCTTCCCTCCCTCTTTTCCCTCCTCTTCCTACCTCCCTCTTTTCTCTCCTTCCCTTCCTCCTCTTTCCCTCCTTCCTCTTTCCTCCTTCCCTTTCTCCTTCCTTCCTTCCTCTCTTATTTCCTCCTCCTTCCCTCCTTTTCCCTCCTTCTCTCCTTCCTTTCCTTCCTTCCTTTCCTACTTCTTCCTTTCTCCTTCCTTCCTTCCTTCTCTCACTCCCTAACCCTCCTTCTTTTTTCTTTCTCTTCTTAACGCTGTGCTAAACAGTACATTCTTCAATTGTTAAGCTTGTTTTTTTGACCTCTCGGCTCAAGTAATATATACCTACTGAAGAACAGCACACAGTCTAATGACAAGGCAGTGTGGGCATTTGGCAGGGAACAGACGAATATGTGAGGGGTAGATTGAATAGGAAGACCAGACTCAGCCGTGGATAGACAAATGGGGACCCGACGTGGGGCAGGGCTGGCATCGGACATCAGTGGAGGAGAGAAATCGCACTGAAGAAGACTATATGTTGATTATGGGCACATACTTGTGTAGCAAAGTATTTTTTTTTTTTTTTTAATCATTTAGAGAGACAGATCTCTTTCTCGGTGAAAGAGTTTGGTGAGACATCAGTTACTATTTTGCAAAGAGAAAATCGTTGCAAATGCAATTTCTTCTTATGTGGGTGGACTATTTTCCTACTTCTCAAAAATTGAAAGCTAGGCAGGGTGCAATGGCTCACACCTGTAATCCCAGCAACTCTGGGAGGCCAGGGAGGAGGGAGGATCTCTTGAGCTCAGGAGTTAGAGACCAGCCTGAGCAAGAGCAAGACCCCGTCTCTATGAAAAATAGAAAAATGAGCCGGGTGTGGTGACTACTGCATGCCTGTAGTCCCAGCTACTGGGGAGGCTGAGGCAGGAGGATCGCAGTTGGAGGCTACAGTGAGCTACAATGACGCCACTGCCCTCTACCCAGGGTGACAGAGCGAGACTCTGCCTCAAAATAAATAAATAAAAATAAAAATGGAAAGCTGATCCGTATTAATTCAAGCTGGCAGTGCCTTAAAAGGTAGGAAGGAAAAGAACACTTTCAAACTGACTGTGGGATGCCCGGCACCATCCCAGGTACCAGGGCTGTTGCTGAGTTTATCCCGTACCAGTCCTTTATCGATTTCTTTTGGGATTACCTGTCACCCTCAGGGCAAGCAGCTACGCTAGCTTCTTGCCATGAAAAACCAGCTTCTGGGGACAAAAATGAAAGTTTTTTTTTTTTTTTGAGTTGTAGGTTTTGAGGTTCTAGGGCTAAAGTGATTTTTAGCCGGACGGTGGTCACCTGGAGCAGCAAATGGGAACAAAGAAAAAAAAAAACTAATGATCCCATTGACCTGTTTGTTTTGTGGGCTGCTCCTAAGGCAAAGAGAATTTTGTTTTCCTAACACGGTGCTGTCGTTTTCCCCGCAGATATCTACCCAAAGCCGAACCCCGCCGACCCCCGCAGCCGAGAATCCAACACGGTGGAAGTAAGTAAGAAATGAGCATTCAGCCTCTGTCAAATCCAATTTGATGACTGACCGTTGCTTTTGTTGGTTGCTTTTGAAATGCATATAGCACAGGTCCCTTGCAGGAAACTCAGTTCCATTCCTAACCGTTGGCAGGGAGCAAACAAGTGGAATGCACACAAACAATTTCCTTTTCCCTTTTCTCTGACACCTGAAAACCACAAGAGTGTCCTCAGAGGATGATTTCCCTTATCGAGTCGGGCTGAGGGACAAGCGCTTTCTCTGACTTGTTTTCAGTGCTCCAAATCCCGTTGCTTTTCCCATTCACAGAGAGCTCTCTCCCGCTGTGCATTTTAGGTCATTTCGCCTTAATTTCGCATTTTTTTCCAAAATTGGGCAGACACCGCTTTCATGCATTTACCGGTGTTTCCCTGAAAATAAGACCCACCCATAAAACAAGCCCCGGCAGGATGTTAAGCATGTGCACAATAGAAGCCCCCCCGAAAATCAGCCTAGTGGATGGGCGTGGCTATGAAAATCAGCCCTAGGTGGGCGTGGCTATGAAAATCAGCTCTAGTGATGGCGTGGCTATGGAAATCAGCCCAGTGATGGGCGTGGCTACGAAAATCAGCCCCAGTGATGGGCGTGGCTATGAAGTTCAGCCCAGTGATGGGCGTGGCTATGAAAATCAGCCCCGGTGATGGGCGTGGCTATGAAAATCAGCCTGTGGGATGGGCGTGGCTATTAAATTAGCCCTGGTGATGGGCGTGGCTGCGCAGCCTTCTGCACAACCCGTGCGTGTCGTCTCAGAGCGGGAAAGAACACAAGCAGCCTTCTCATCTGCCCGTGAGAGCTCTAGTGCTCGACAGGAGAGATGGGGCCAGTGGCTCTAAAGGAAACAGAGTCGCGAGAACATTCAGGATGGGATTCAGGTCTGGAGAGTGAGTATGATGTTCCAGAAGAAGACGACTTCATCTATTTGATCAAAGTAGATGGTTGCACCATACTTAAAAAACACACACACACACACACCCTGAAAATAAGCCCTAGGGTGTCTTCTCGAGGGAAAATAAATATAAGACTCTGTGCTATTTTCGGGGAAACACGGTAGCACATTCACCATTTAGAGAAATAAAAAGCAATAACGTTCTCAGCAATTCAACAACCCTAAACACTTAAAATTTGGCTAGACAGAGCATGCATGAAGCTAGCTGAGTCACGAGGGCTTCTAGAAGCTTCTAGCAGAGGCTCGTTCTGGCTATAAACTCTGCACAGCCCAACAACATATTATTATGTCCCACCCCACCTCCTCCAGACGGACACAAACTCATCTCCTCGACCAACGTGTCTTTAAAAATAGAGGCTAAGGCCAGTGGAGATGACACCCTAATTGAAGAGCAGCACCTGACAATGTCTGCATTTTTTAGGGGACAGGTAAACCGCCAGCTAATCTTTTTTTGTTTTGTACCCTGCAATACCGTATTTCCCCCAAAACAAGCCCTACCCACAGAACAAGCCCTAGCAGGATGTCTAAGCATGTGCGCAATAGAAGCCCCACCCCGAAAATCAGCCCCAGTGATGGGCTTATTAGCCCTAGGGTGTCTTCTTGAGGAAAAATAAACATAAGACCCTGTCTTGTTTTTGGGGAAACACGGTATTAACATCCCGACACCAAAAACAACCTTTTCTCCTAACACTTCCTCCCAGTCTTTTAGAAACAATCACTCCCGGGATTGTGGCTTTTTTGCAAAGCGTGCATGGATGGGTATTTGCACAAGGGAAGTGCTTCTTACTCACAAATCCCCCGGACACGCCGGGTCAAGGAGGCGCTAGGAGCTGTCCTCCCAGACCCTCTGTTTTCCGAGCCGATCTGACCATGCCGGCCGTGTCATCCCGAGGGTCTGGGGTGAATCGGGCACCCCCAGGAGAAGCCGGGTGGAGGGAGGAGAGGTGCAACCTTGGGGAGCGACCGCCTGGCACTTGGGGTCTGGTTTCTGACCCACACCCCGAGACGGAGGGAAGTTGCTTCATGGCGCTGCCGTTCACGCTGGGCTTAAACCCAGCCACGCGATGCCTTTAACACGAAGTGCTGAATTATTCGTTTATATCGAGCGAGAGACGCTGGAGTATTTGCAACGGCGGCAGAGGAGCAAACTCAACCTATGCACCTGGATAAGAGGAAAAATGAAGCGGCTTAGAAGTGAATGATCGGCACTGCACAGAAATTCCCGCTAAAGCAAGTGCTTGTGCCATGCTAGCCTGGGCTCCTGAATGTGGAGGTGGGGAAGGAAGAAAGAGGAGTCCCAGAGAGCAGTATGAAAAGTCCCTCCCACACGGGGCGTGCTGGAACATTCTCTTGGGCCACGAAGGCAATCGCTGGTGGGCAACCTGGGAGAAGTTCCTTCAGATGGAAAGTTCTGGGTCTTTCTTTGTCCTCTTTCTCTTTCTCCCCGTACCCTGTTTCCCCGAAAACAAGACAGGGTCTCATATTTATTTTTCCTCAAGAAGACACCCTAGTAGGGCTTATTTTCAGAGGATGTGTCATTTTCCCCTCAAAGACTCAGCTTGCAGCACGCACAGGATGGCCGGGACCGGACAGGGGGAGCCGACCTTGTTGGTGGGGCTGCCCGCACCTTTCCGGCCACCTCTGGGACAGTCGCTGTCACGACGGGGCGGATAAGAAGGGCTGCTTGTCTTCTTTCCCGCTCCGCGACGACACGCACGGGTTGTGCAGACGCGCTGCACAGCCACGCCCGTCACTGGGGCTGATTTTCGGGGTGGGGCTTCCATTGCGCACATGCTTAGACATCCTGCTAGGGCTCGTTTTATGAGGACGGCTTATTTTGGGGGAAACAGGGTAGTGACTTTATACAGACAGCTGTTGGATTTATAGGAAGCCACCATGCCCCCGGCGGGCAATTTAGGGCGGCTCCGGGCATCCTTAAAACCCGGCGGTCTCGTGCCTGCAGAAATAAAGGACCCAGGGAACCCGAGGGTCTCTTCCGTCCGTGCCTTCTTGGATGCGCTTGTTTTTCTTGTCCCCGGTGCTGTGCAGGCCGGCCGTGGACTCGGTGTGCACGCCGTCTGCGAGACCCAGTGGGGTTCTCTAGTCTCTGGCCTGACACCCGCCGCACAGGGCCGGTGCGGAAGACTGGTCCCTGTACGCGCGTCCAGGGAGCAAGCGAGCAGACTAAGCAGACGCCGGCAGGCGCAGCGCCCAAGTTTACTGAGGCATAGAACATTCTGGAGAAGGAACGGGTGAACCCCCAGCGAGTGGGGAGACCCGGGTTCGGAGGCAGACTATAGAAAGTACGGCGGCTGATCTCCAAGTCAGCAGAGAGAGGACTGCTCCAACGAGGAACGGCGTCACCCCAGGTCAGGCTCTGTTTGCTATGCTGATCCCTAATAATATGTGAAGTGGGGAGGTGGAATTCCATGCTTTTTCTTGGAAAAGGTGGAGAATTCCCACAACTGGGACCTCCCCGTTTTTTAACCTTGAAGGAGATTTCCAGGGTTGCCATGGACTTGCGAGCTGCATGTCAGGTGGGGTGATTTGACTGTGTTAGTGAGGGCGGGTCACTTGAGTTTACTGTCACTTGTGTCACGTGGCCCAGAGACCATTTTGTGGCCTTGGTCATGTCTCCATGTCGTGGCCTTCCTGCCTCTTTCTGGTTGGTCTGTGCTTGGAGACCCCTGTCGTAGACCAGACACCTGTCAGTGTTGGGACCCCCCCCTGGATAGTCATCGTCCCTCCCCTTGGAAGCCCCTCTGGTCAGCTTGTCCCTCCTACTGTGGACGGAACATCTCCTAGTGCCCTGCCCCTCGGTGACACCCCAGACATGGCACCTGCTCCCCTTCCTCCTCGTCCCAGCCTAAGAAGAAGAACCAATTCTGACAATGACAGAAGCTATTGCAGAACCACTTGACAGAAGCTGCCGTGGCTACATTGTGCTCCCTCCAAATTCATATGCTACCGCCTGACCACCCCAGGACCTCAGACGGCGTCCGTGTTTGCAGATGGGTCTTTAGAGACGTGATTAAGGTAAACTGAGGTCACCAGGGTGGGCCTGATCCAACAGGACTGGTGTCCTTATAAGCGAGAGACAAGGACACAGACGGCACAGAGGACGACCCCTGAGACACAGGGAGGGGACGGCGTCTACAGCCCGCGGAGAGAGGACCCAGGAGGAAGCAGCCCTGAGACACCTGGATCTGGGACTTCCAGCCTGCAGGACGTGAGAGATTCAATGTCATTTGTTCGAGCCGCCTGGTCCGTGGGACTTCATGACGACCACCTGAAACTCAGAAAGCTCGGGCAGTAATGCTAGACCCGGATTTCCAGTGCCCTGAAGAAGGACTTTAAGTCCTTGATTTTTTTTTTTTTTTTTTTTTTTTGCCCTGGATTACAGGGACCTCGCTCATAACGTCAAGCAAATGAGCACCTGCCAGGCAGTGTGAGTGCTGGTACCAGGAGTATAAAGTTGGTGCGGAAAACACAGTTTCCAGCCTGAGACACAAACACGCTGGTGCAGGTTGGTGTGCAAAGAGCTTGCATCGATTTTTCTAATCTCCGCTGCTCACATAGGGTCAGAGGACATCCAAGCTGAGACAGGAGGGACGAGGCGATGCGTTGTCAGATGACAAGTGGCTTCTTCAAATATAGATGGAGCACATCAAGCACGCAAGTTTTTTTAAAAAAAAAAGTTCAAATGAGAGGATGTATCCAAGCAAGGTGGAAATAAAACACACTGCCAAAAGGTCAGAGGCTCTCATCCGATTATTGGTGACTCACTTCTGTAAACAGTGCTGGCATTTGCAATGTCCCTAAACATCGGGGCGTCCACGGCAAAGCTTCCACACCCTGTTCGTTTCAGAGAGCCGTAGACGTCTCACCGTAAGGACCAGGTGGGGAGATTCCGGGCACAAAAGTGACAGTAGTTTCTAAAAGTTTTATGCTTCGAAGTGTTCATGTCAATGTTGGCTATGTAAACTAAAATAAAGTCTTAAGGCTTCCCTCCACCAGCTGACTGAGTGGACCCCCTCCTGGCCAAGGGGACGCCCTAAAACTGAGTTTCTGGCCAGGAGGAGGGAGGTCAGACCTGCCCCTTCACGCCCCTCGCTTCTTGGGGACATCCTTGGTGACTCAGTGACAGGCTGAGGCTGTGCAAGTCACTCCTGCAGGTCCTCAGTTTACACAACACATACGTGTCCGGTGGCTTGTCTCTGATTAACACACTTCCTTATCTTAAAACATTCCCAGCCTTTACACAAAGCTTCACGTCTTCAACCAATTACACGTTAAAGAGTCTTTAAACCCACCTGTAACCTGTAAGCCCCCGATTCGAGATGTCCCACCTTTTCGGGACAAACCAATGTCCGCCTCCCACGTATTGATTTATGACTTTACCTGTCTCTCCCTGAACTGTGTGAAACCAAACTGTGACCCAGCCACGGCCAGTCCACCTGCTCAAGGCTTCCCGGGCGTGGCTCCGTGCCGTGGTCCTCAAATTCGGCTCAGAATAAACCTCTTTACATTACTTTACAGAGTTTGGCTTCTTTTCTGTTGACAGCAGCATGATTTAAAGGCCGGACAAAAGCTATGGGACGTGAACGTAAATAAAACAGTTCCACCTTTTTTGTATTTTGATATTCTTATTTATAGATGGATCATACCCGAAAGATGTCACACTATTTTCCTGACACATTTACCTGTGTTGTTTTCCCACAGATATCTACCCCAGGCCGAGGCCGCCGCCTCACCCGCAGCCTGGCCATTCCGACAACGGCGGAGGTAGTGAGTATTTAAGACCCATTTCCAAAGTGTTTGGATGCAACTTATCATTTGGTGACTTAAAAATTCTAATCTCCATATGAGCCACTGGAAACCAAGCAAGTGGGAGCGGGTAGGAGGGATGGGTAAATTCACACCTAACGGGTACAGTGCACACTCTCTGGGGGATGGGCACGCTGATAACTTCGACTCAAACTGTGCAAAAGCAACTGATACAACCAAAATGTGTGCGTGTCCCCGTAATATTCTGAAACGAAGGAAAAAAGAAAGTTTAAACATGCGAGCCATTAAAACATTAGGCTTAACCATAATGGAATTGCCAACTTCGACTATTTTTAACCTACAAAAGCGGCAATTTCATGTGGCTTCAAGAAGTACCCGTTGATGCATCCTGTTATTAAAATACCGACTTTCCTATTTGTTTACAACCAATCCACGTGTTGCTTATAAGGCACTTACGTTCTCTGAAGATGATAAGGATAAAACGTGAAGGTGGGTATTGAAGAAAAGAAAAAAAAAATTCTAGTCTCCATGGTGAAAGACCCAGCTGCTTTTGGAAGGCACCGAGATTATGCGGTGTCCCGGTGAAGTCCAGATATTTTTCTGAGCACCTTGTGGAGGAGGGGAGGCATATGGGGTGGGTAGGTAGCTAAGGCATTGCTAGAGAGGATGAGTAGATAGGGAACACATTGACTTGTGCCGTTAACACGAGAGACAGGTGTCATGTTTTAAACGACTTGCGCCTGGTCTGGTTGCATTCTTGACCTTTTCGTACGATATATGGAGATAACAGGTAGAGACGGATGAAAGCCAGTGGTACCCTTTGACCTTTGGATCGTGTCGGTGCGGTTTAGGGTTAGGGTCAGGGTGCAGATAGAGGGGAATCCCCCTGCCAGGCTCTGTTAATCTCAAGGGTCCTGCAACCCCAAATATTCTTTCTACAAAGGAGCTATATTCTGGGGTGAAATTTCCTGACCTCCTTCCTTCTGCCCCATCTGGAACTTCCCTGGAAGTTTCACTCGTTCAAACTCCGTGGCCAGAGAGAGAGAGAGACCGGGTTAGCCGTCAAGAAAAAACGAGATCTGAAACGGGAGACAGGAACGTAGATTCTTGGAATCTGAGGATCAGATCGAAGCCCATAGTCCCCTGCACCCCAGGAAATCAGTCTCGCCTTCTTGGAAATAGGTCTCCGTGAATCGGACGGGGAATACCTATCTGTGATGGACCCTTCTTAAGAGGCAAGGTCCACTCCGGAGGTGTTCGGATGCCACGTGTTGTGGGTGACGACTTACAATTCTAATTTCCAAGGCGAAGGACCAACTGCTTGTGGACAGAGATTATTTTGCTGGGGAGTCAGAACGGGACCTGGGCATTCCGTGAAGTCCCTGCCTTTTGCCTTTCACACATTTGGTAACCCCTTGGCGTTAGGGTGAGAGAGCTCCACCTGCATTTCCTAGGGACATCCAAAGACAAAGTGACTCTTGCGTGGTGGACCCAACAGGAAAGACAGGAGTCCAGGACTTGGTTGTGGATTTCAGGAACCACTAGAAAGAGGTCTTCTTAGATGTCGTTCTGGTTCCACGTAGCTGGGCCCCAAACACACACCCCTGGAAGGCAGGGGGGGACAGGTGAACGCGGCCGTGGGAAGTTTAAAAACCAGGGCACCGAAAGATGATTTAGGAAAGGCAGGTTGGGAGCAAGCACTGGTGGATTGTTGAGAAAGCCCTGGCAGGGTGGATTCTGAGGATGTCCGGACACCTCTTCTCCCCAGGGGGGGGCATCGTTGGCGCTTGGGGAGGAAACAGGGTGGAGTTCCATGTCAGGAGGCGCTGAGCAGGGAGCCATGCTTGGACAGGTGCAGTATCAGTCAGGGACCGTGCGCTCCAAGGCCCTGAGCGGGAGGCGCCTGGGGTAGCCGGGGAAAGAGTAAGGGGCGGTGCATTGGGACTTCAAGGGGGAGCTGGCCAGGTGGCGCAAGGATACCAGGTCGTAAGCGTCATCCCAGATCAAGGTCAGCCCCCAACGAGGGCTTTGAGCAGGAGATAATGCCAGGGGTCGTGCAGACGCCCGCAACGTGAGACCCCTCCGCGGGTGGTCTGAGCGCCCTGCGCGCACCGGGGACTCGATTTCTGGTGCCCACGGGCGCCCCAGGAAGAAGCCCGCTGGTCTTAGCATCCTCCTGTCCACAAAGTGCCCAGGTAGCCCCGGCGCGGACACGGGCTGGAAGGGCCCCGTGGGGAGGTTGAGTCACCAGTGCCGCGTGCTCTGCCCCACAGGTTACTTCAACGACGTGGACCGCGACGACGGACGCTACCCGCCCAGGCCGAAGCCCAGGCCGCCGGCAGGTAGGGCCCAGCCGCTTGGGGTGGTGGTGGTGGGGACCCCCGGATTGGCCCGGAGACGGTGGGCGGACAGGCCTGAGGTCTCGGGGGAGGGACGCCCGGCCTCGGCGGACGCAGATGAGGACAGAGAGGGTCCCCCTGCGCTGTGTGTGGGGTTGGGGGTTGGTGAGCACCTGTCCACCCCTCGAGGTTTACGCAGTGCACGGAAACGGGAAAGAGAGCAGGTGGAGCTTGGAATTCCATGGGGAAACTGTGGCCATTTCCGTACAGACTTGAGTATGGGTGGTCGTGCGTGTGCATTAACGTGCGTACAGACGTGCGTTTGTGCATGCGTGCTGAGAAATCTCTGTGTGTGTGTGTGTGTGGGGTGCGTAGAACACATGAACTGCTGTGTGAGTTGTATTTAACTCACGCTAGTTTTGAGCCCGGCGCCTCGTGAAGCGTATGTAACTCACACGTCTCCTCACCTTGGGAGAAGCGTGAACTATTTTCCAAGTTGCGCATCACTCACGCACAGAAAACAACGGTAAAACGTAACGAATTTTCATGATGTTAGAAAGGATTGTTTTGTTTTCGAAGTTTTTATTCTGTTTTTGTAATAAAACATCATTGCCCCCAGGAAAAACATTTTTTTTTCTAGTGTGACTGTCAATGTGTTAAAATTTATATATAGCTTTCTATTTATGTGTGAGTATGTAGACTTTGTAATTAATGTGTATACATGCATTTATATATGATGTGTAGATGTTTTTGTGTGCATATATATTTATACACCTATGTATGTACCTTTACATATGTATACATACAACTTTACGTGTGTATATATATGCATTTATATATATCTTTATATATGTATGTTCCTGCCTTTATATATACATATATATACCTTTATATATGTGTATATATTTTATGTAATATGTGTATATACATACTTTTATACTTATACCTTTATGTATTGTCTATATGTTTATGTTTATATGAATGTTTTTATATATACATATAAATATGCTTATGCATATTTATGCATGTATATAAATATATATACACTCTTATATATATATATACTTAGGTATACATCTTTATATGTATACATTTCTTTATGTATGTACCTATCTACCTTTATATATGTACACATCTTTAAATGTGTATGTATATATTTATATATGTATATACTTTTGTATGTGTGTATGTTTATATATGTATATATACCTTTATATCTCCATATGTACATATCTTTTTATATGTATATGAATGGCTTTGTATATGTGTATACACACCTTTATATATGTATATATTTTCATGTGTGTATATGCATGCCTTATATACACATATGTTTATATCTGTATATATGTATGCACATATATATTTAAATATGTTTATATGCCATTATATATACATGTATATTATACCTTTATATATGTATGTGTATTTCTTTGTGTATATGTATATATATGTCCCTTTCTATTTAAATGTATGTATACCTTTAGATATATGTGTATACGTGTACAACTTTATATCTCTGTATACGCAGACAGACATATATAACAAACTTTTAACATGAAGTTTTCTCTCCAATTGGAAGGCGAATGCCTACAAGGAGTCCTTCATACACAAATGAAAATACAGGAACTACGAGACAAATGCACGCAGCGTTGGGCTGGGCCGTGTAACGCTGTCTGCCTTATTTTCGAGCGTGCGAGGTTCGGGCATACTAGGTTCTGCAGTTTCATTGCCCACGAGGTGCCGGGCTTGCCCAAAAACCCAAAAAAGCGCGCGGCCCCACAAAAACAGAACACCCCCGCACATCTTCCCAAAAGTGTGCACGCAAAAAAAAAAAAGAGCTGGGGGAGAGAGCATAACAAAAAAAACAACAAAAAAAAAAAATGACTGGCTCTGAATAAGGAGAAAGTGAGAACACGGATGACTGGGAGCGTGAGCTGGGGCATCCTTTTGATCTGGGAAACTCTGCACTGGGGCGGCCGGTCCCAGTTAAGCTGGCCTGCGGGAGCGAGTTCATGTGGAGCTACTGGGGTAAATGTTTGTTCCAGGAAGGGGAAGTTACCGTGTTTCCCCGAAAATAAGACAGGGTCTTCTATTTATTTTTCCTCAAGAAGACACCCCAGGCTTGTTTTCAGGGGATGCGTTATTTCTTTTTTAAGTACGGTACAACCATCTACATGTATTCAAATAGAGTGAGGTCGTCTTCTTCTGGAACATCATCCTCACTCTCCAAACCCTGAATTCCATCCTGAATGTCTTGCGACTCTGTTTCCTTTAGAGCCACCGGCCCCGATCTCTCCTGTCGAGCACTAGAGCTCTCACGGGGCGGATGAGAAGGGCTGCTCGTGTTCTTTCCTGCTCCGAAACGACATGCACGGGTTGTGCAGACGCGCTGTGCAGCCATGCCCGTCACTAGGGCTGATTTTCGGGGTCGGGCTTCTATGGCGCACATGCTTAGACATCCTGCCGGGGCTTATTGTATGGGGAGGTCTTATTCTCCGGGAAACACGGTATTTTGATAGCCACAGCTCAGTCCTGGCAGGCAGTTTTCCCCACAGGGAGATCAGATGGGGCCACTTTGACCAACCCTGGGGGCTGCTCTTTGGGGCTCTCCGGGGGGTGGGGGGTGACTTGCTGTCACCCCCAGTGAGCCGGACAGACTGACGCCTGCTGGACGCCCCTCACCTGCACCTTCTCTGTCCAACAGGAGGCGGCGGCGGCGGCGGTGGCGGTGGTGGGTACCCCAACTATGACAGCTCCGGCAACTCATACGGTACATCCAAATTCGGGCACCCGGTTTGTGGGAGGGTGGGGTGGCATTTCCAGGGACCCTACTTGTCCATCTCGTGTCTTGTACCTGGGGTGTCTGGTGTGCGGTCTCTCTGCTGGTGTCTGGTCTTCTGAGAACTGCTCTCCTGTGCCTGTCCCCAGGAGGGAGGTACACACACACACACACACACACACACACGCACACCTTTGCTTAGGTAGAAACAAGCAGCACAGAACCCCAGGACTAACTAGATGGAGACCGTGCAAGAAATCTGAAATTCTCTGGGAGTGCAACTCACTACCTTCGCTCAGAAAAACAGCGTATAGTGGCTGTTACGCCCAGAATTAAAGCACAGGAACCACAAGCAGGTTCTTCTCTTGGTTGAGATCTTCTGCAAGAGACAAGAGGACCTAAAAACCCTCCGATATCTTCCCGTCCTGAAATTTCCTTTCGTCAGGAGCAAACTGGGGGGGAGGGGGGGGACGGAGAGCAACAGCTGCCAAACACGCTGCGGATCAATCTTAAACCGTTATCTTAGTCGTCACGTTTCCCTTTGGTTGAGAGCTTTGCCCGCCTCCTGCAAATTCAGTAGCTGTGTTTTTGGTTCAAACTAACATTTGTCCAGAACGTTTGCGACGCAGAAAGTCCTTTTGCCGGCCGCAGTCTCGTTAGTTTTGGTCTCCTCTAGAAGCAGGCGTTGTCAGCAGCTCCGTTTTGCAAAACGAAGGCAAAACGAGGCGCTCGAATGTGCGCTTGGAGGGTGGGTGTCTGTGGCCCCCTGGGTGGCCCCTTCCCTGTAACTGCCTCCCTGCAGGACCGACAAGCGTCAGGGTGGCAGGTAACCCTTACCTGGGGTCAGGACCTGTCCACGGAGCCTGTTACTGTGAGATGTGTCCACGCCCCCGCAGCCTGGCCATGAGGGAAGTGTGACCCCACTCAGGATTCTGTGAAAACCCTCCCCCGGTGAGGAGGCTCCTGAGAGCGTGTTCTTTTGCTCCTTGCGGTATTCATGAGCTAGAAGGAAATGACTCACTCGGAGGTTTTCTCAGAAGCCCAGATACTCTCCTATTGTCCCAGGAAATGAGGTTCGCCCTGCTTTTCCCGAAGCAGAAGCCTGGAAGAACGTCAGGCTTCCCCCCACCCCCCAAGGGGTGGCTCAAAGCTCACCTGGCAGATGCTGTGTGCCTCCTGGGGGCAAAACAGCTGCAAAACCTCACTGCTCACGGGCAGGTCCGGGGACAAGTGCAAACCGCAGCTGGGCAGAGCTCATCCGGTTCTCGGGGGCCGCAGTCCAGATTTGAGGGGCCACAGGGCTCGCTTTGAAGTCTGGTTTTTGAAAAGACCATTCTGCTCTTTTGTGTGCCGGGGCCCCAGCCCCCTGCCCTGAGCAGGGGGAGGCTGAGTCAGCCTCTGCACGAGCCCCGAGGTGCCAGCCGGCTGCAACCTGGCGTGGCGCCGTGAGTCACCCGGCGCCTCCCTGAAGGTGGCAGAGCGTGTTTGGCGTGTTCCTGCTGCATGCAGAGTATCCGGGGCACGGGGCTGAGCTCACGTGGCAGAGGAGGGTGGGCCCTGAGTCTGTCCTCCCTCCTGGAAGGAGCTTCTCCTCCCTCCTGGCTGTGTAGACGCCATCTCCTCCCTGTCTCCTCACGGGGTCGTCCCTCTGTGGCTGTCTGTGTCCTCGTCTCCTCTGCTTATTTTATTTACTTATTTTTTTTTTGAGATGGGGTCTCGCTCTGTTGCCCAGGCCAGAGTGCAGTGGCATCGTCATAGCTCACAGCAACCTCAAACTCCTGGGCTCAAGCAATCCTCCTGCCTCAGCCTCCCAAGTAGCTGGGACTCCAGGCATGCGCCACCATGCCCGGCTCATTTTTCTATTTTTAGTAGAGACGGGGTCTCGCTCTTGCTCAGGCTGACCTCAAACTCCTGACCTCAAGCGATCCTCCTGCCTTGGCCTCCCAGAGTGCTAGGATTATAGGCGTGAGCCACGGTGCCCGGCCTCTAATCTCCTCTTCTTATAAAGACACCGGTCCTGTTGGATCAGGACCCACCCTAGTGACCTCAGTTTACCTTAGTCACCTCTTTAAAGACCCATCTCCAGATATCATCACAGTCTGAGGGCCTGGGGGTCAGGGCTCCGGTATATGAATTGGGGCAGACGTAATTCAGCCCGTGACACCAACCCTCCACTTCACAAGAGTCATCTCAACATGAAAATATGCCTCCATATTTAAATAATACCCACATCAATGACCCCACTTCAGAATCAGCACCGAGCGCTTTGCTTTTTCAATCACGAAATCTGTCTTTAAAAATTGCCCCTGAGACACGAGAAGGAAGCACAGAGACGGCTCATTCGATTTTTGTAGGCTGTGGCCACCACTCACGCCGTGTGTCTCCGTGGGATTCTAGTTTCATGCTTGCTCCGTCTGGGTGGGGTTTTCTTTTCGACTTCAGAGGAGAGGCTTTTGCAGGCCCGAGCCGGGCGCCCAGCCCCTCAAGGATGTGCTCCCAGAGCACCTTCGCCTAAGGGGAAGCGGACAGTCTCTGCGGGGCCACAGGACACCGGCGCTCCTTCCCCGCGTGGGGACGCCCCGTTGGAATCTCTGCAGCCTGTGTGTGTGTGTGTGGCGGGGTCCTGCTTCGGGGGTGCCGACCTGCTGTCCTACCTCTGTGAGGTTATAGAGACGTCCCGAGCGATGTCTGGTGTCTCATGGCCTCTTTTCCGCCCTGCAGGAAGAGGTGGCTATAGACCCAACTCTCCCTACAGCCACACCTATGGTAAAGGACTCAGCCTGGCACGCTGTGTGGGCGCGGGCGGGAGGCTGCTGCTGCTGTCCGTGCGTGGGGACTGGGCGGGCACCCAGCTCCCCACTGTGTGTGTGTTCAGCTGCCATCACTGCTGAGGGGGTGACGTGCATGCCGCAGGGCCTTAATTTCGTGAAAGGAACTGTGCCCGTGTACGGGTGTCACTGTGTGTGTGCATGCGTGTGTGCATATGTGCCTGCACCCGGGTGTGTCTCTGTGTTGTGAGTATATGCATGTATGCATGTGTGCACATGTGCATGTGGATCTTGCATAATTGTGTCCATGTGTGGAGTGTTAGCGTGCATGTGCATGTTTATGCATGTGCAATCATGTATGTGTGCATGTGTAGATTATTCATGCGTGCACATTTGTGCTAGTGTCACATGTGTGTGCATATTTCCTGTGTGTGCATTTGCATGCATACATGTGGGCATGTGCAGGCACACATGCATGTGGGGATTTCCATGTGTGTGCATATGTGCACGTAGACTGTATACATGCATGTGAGCAAGTATGCACATAAAAACATGGATGCATTTGTCTGTGTGCATGCATGTGTACACATTGTATATGTGTGCATGCAACACATGTACATATGTGAAGGATCATGTGTGCATGCACGCATACATGTGAATGTGCATGCATGCTCATGTTAGCTTGTGTTGTGTGTATATTGCCTATATGTGTCCACACACATGTATGTGCGCCTGTATTGCACACATGTATGCACGTGTATGTGTGTTGCGTGTTGCATTTGCATTCACATGTTGTGTGTGAGAGAGTGTGCATGTGGGTTTATGCATGCAAGTGTTCTTCTTCATGTGCCTGTCTTTCTATGTGTTGCACATGCATGTGCATGTGTGTGTTTGTGTGATGTATGTGTGAGTGTGCACACGTGCATGCCTGTGGGTATGTGCATGCATGCGTCCTCTTCATGTGCTTATCTTGCCTGTGTGTGTTGCATGTGCACATGTGTGTATAATCCCCACCCCTGAAACGAAAGCTGCCCGCCCCCTCCCTGTAGCTCCCGGTCCCCTGTCCCCGTTAGACGCTGCACGTGGCTGCTCACTGCCCCTTCCCCGTGCTGCCTGCCTGTCCTGCCTCCCCGACGAGAACGCAAACCCTGAGAAAACGGGGATTCTTGCATGCTGTGCTCATTCTCCCATGCTCGGCCACGCCCGGCCACAGAAGGCACTCAGCGAGCCCTGCTCAATAAGCTCACACGTGTGTCCTTTCCCCCCTGCAGGTGGAGACGAACATTCCACATACGGCAACCCCCAAGGTAACCGACTGACTCAGTCGCCCCGGTCGTTGATAAGCACGTGCTGCTGCTCCTCTCTGGGGGAGGGGCCGTGCAGGCATGCCTGATCCCAGCCTCACGACTTCTGCATAGCGATTTTAGTGCCTCTGCGTGTAACGGGCCTTCTGGACGAGGCTGTCTGAGGTTCAGAATAGGATTGACGGGAGTCCAGAGGGAGGGGAGGCAAGGGCTACAAGATGCCTCTTAGCTTTCCGAGCAAGGCTTTGCATGATGGCTGGGGGTCCCCAGACCTCTGCGGGCACCACAGTGACTCCCCTGTCTGTGACCAGCACACAGGGCTGGCCAGGGGAGACGCTGGTGGAGCCTGCACTTCATACAAGCTCCATAGGAAAGAGCCTGCCCGTCTTCACACGTATGTGAAGAACAGATCTGAGGCCACTAAGACTCTGGGAGACCGGCTTTAAGGACAGTTCGTCTGTGGGAAGGAGATGAACAGGCCAGCTGAGTTAGAGTCCAGGCAGGGGAGGTAGAAAAAAAGAGGTCAGTGCAGAGGGCCAACTGGGTAGTGAGAATTGATGGCACTTGTATTGATTTGCCGTGGAATGGCAGAGAGGAAAGAGGCATGTATCAGTCAGCTATGCTGCGTAACGAAAGACCCCAAAACTTAGTTGCTGGAAACAGCAACTATTTATTGCGATCACTATCGAGTGAGTCATCAATTTGGGCTAAAACCATCCATTCTGATGGCCTCTGAACACGCTTCCTTGTCTGTGGTCGGCTGCAGATCTGGCCGGCCATGTATGGCCATGTTGGCTGGGTCTTCTCATGTATCTGGGGCCAGAGGTGGGATGGATCAGTTCAGATTCCCGTGGGCTCTCCCGTCCCTCCCAGAGGCCAGGGCACGTTGGATCACGTGACAGCCAGGCAGGGTCCTAAGAGGATGCGGACAAGAGTGCCCGGGCTTAGAAGTGGCTCAGCTGCACTTCCGCCAAAGTGCGTTGGCCAAAGCCTAGATTCTTGGGAAGAAGACGTGGACCCCACCTCTCCATGGGAAATGCAGCGGGTGTGGATATAGGAAGCGGAAGACTAGAAGGCAGCCAGTCTCGCCCCAGGAGGCAGGGTGAGGAGGGGCTGCCAGACGTAGAGCAGATTCTCAAGATCAGTCATAATTCTTTTCCACCTAACACGGCAGACCCATTTGAGGATCAGCCACACATCCATCACCTTTGCCAGGCCAGGTGCTGGCCCAGGTGTTCCACCCAGTCCGATACAAGGCATGCAATGGCAGCCGGGGGCGGGCAAAGGGGGAGGGGCACATTATTTCAAATCGAAACAATGATTTCATTTCTTCTTCCCTTTTTTTTTTTTTTTTTTTTTTTTTTTAAGTCGTGTTACCCAAGGTTTCCCTCTTTGGTTCTTTGTGCCGAGTCACCAAAGCCTTGTAGTAATTTTGCCTTGGAAGCTTCAACGATGCTCTGTGTCTGGCGCGTGCTTGTATCCAAAGCCCCCGCAGGCCTTTGAAAGCAGGTCTGCCTGGCACTTTTTTATTGAGAACATATATATATTATATATTTTTTTGGCATGGGAAAATGTCTCATATCTAAAAGTGTGCAAGTCGATCAAATTCAGCAAACCAAATGCCAGGTGTCTCCTCTGTGCAAAGCCGTCCTGGATAGGTAAGATGTGGTTAACAAGCTTTGCATTTTGTGAAAACAGAATCGTTTCCTAAAAAAAGATTCTTTTTTTTTTTTTTTTGCTCTTTTTCCCAGTGGATACAAGAGTGGGTGGGGATGTGATAGGGAAGTTATTTAAAACAAGCGGCGTTTCCCCTGCTGGCTGTGCTTTTCTCAGGTGAGCTTGCTTTCTCTCTCAACACCTACAGGCAACATGGTGGCAAAAATCGTGTCTCCCATCGTGTCCGTGGTGGTAGTGACCCTGCTGGGCGCGGCCGCCAGCTACTTCAAAATGAACAGGAGGGGGAACTGCCTCAGGACCAACGGCAAGTGTGGCTCAAACCATTCATTTCCTACTTATAAAACCTAGCTTTTTTAAAAAAAAAAAAACGCTTTTTGGTGTATTTCACTAGCTATGTTATTTCTGGGTGCTTTGCCTAACTAAGTGATTTTATTTATTATTTATTTATTTTTTAGACAGAGTCTCGAGTTGTTGCCAGGCTAGAGTGAGTTGGCTGGCGTCAGCTCGTCACAGCAACCTCAGACCTCCTGGCTCAAGCAACCTCCTGCCTCAGCCTCCTGAGTAGCTGGGACTACAGGCATGCACACCACACCCGGTAATTTTTCTAATATTTAGTTGGCCAGCTGATTTCTTTCTATTTTAGTAGAGACGGGAGTCTCGCTCTTGCTCAGCTGGTTTTGAACTCCTGACCTCGAGCGATCGGCCCGCCTCGGCCTCCCAGAGTGCTAGGATGACAGGCGTCAGCCAGCGCGCCCAGGCTACGAAGTGATTTTAAATTGGGATTTTTATGTACACGCGGAAGATTGAGAGAAACTAACACATGAGTTTTAACGAAGAATGCTTATCCTTTTTTATTTTTTTACCTGTTTCTTTCTGATCTGCAAGATTTGGTTTGACTCAAAGGATCTTAAGTGACTAACGTAGACTGGAAGATTATAAGCATGGGGCTGCATTCAGCTGGCCCAGTGTGGTTCCATTGCGTTTTGTTTTTGCTGAAATTGTACCACAGCTGAGTCAGGGAAAACACCGGGGTTGAACATGAAATTTTTGCACTGTCCTCACTCCCAAGGAAAACTACAAAAGCACGAAATGATAAGCCTTTGTCCGACTTCAGAGGCTAAACCCAGACACTAGGGAGAAAATAGAGGTGCCCTGTGGCTTCCCAGCTCAGTAATGGGTCTTGGCTCCTGGGTTAGAGCAAAGGACTCCCTTAAAGATATCTCGGAAACAATCGTCGGAGGAGAGAGAGTGAGGATGTTTCATTGAAGAAACAGTGACTCATATTTTTATCTCAGGATCTCTGGAGGTTTGGTTCTCAGACCACCCATGTCAGAATCTGTGTGGGGTTTGCCGGGGGGGAAGCCTTGACCCCACACTTCATTTATGTCCCTGGAGAAAACAAGAAACAGAAGAATCCTATTACCCTTGTCTTTTTTTTTTTTTTTTTAGAATGGGTGTTTGACCTCAAAATCGTAAAAACCTGCCCTTGGGCTCCCTCTGCTGGCCAATGGGTGGTACTAATCAGCATCCTTTTGGGGCAAGCTTCTGTCTACACAACTGTCCCACCCTGAAAATTTAGGGGGGAAACTGAGATTCTGGAAAACAGCCTTAATTAATGCCCTGGTAACATGAGGTACCATGAAAGAGACACCACGAGTTAATTTTGGCGGCATCTGTGGCCGCTGTTTGTAAACATTCATTAAGCCAGGCTGGAATGGGGTGAGCAGAGAGAGAGACCCTGGTGTCCCCCAGGACAAAATGCAAGGCTGGCTTGGTAGGGGGAAGGGCACACCAACAAACTCAGTAATCAAGACTAATATTTTAGTGTGATATTTTAAAAAGAAAATCAAACTGGCAAACTACAGCCTGCAGGCCAGCTGCCTTGTTCGTGTAAATAGTTTTGTCGGGACAAGGGCCGGTTGAGTCTCCAAAACAGGTGGGGTTTCTAAAATGTGCATCATGCCCCCTTAGTTTATCTGAAGTGGAGGCACTTTTTTGTTAAAGCGATGTCGTGTTTTGAAGGTCGTTTGTGCCCTGTGGCTGCTACCTGATACATAATCTGTATCATTTCTCAATTATAGTTTAGTGAGAATTTCACCAAGTATCTCCAGGCGTGAGGTTTTATCTTCCCTTCCCTTAAAGTTCCTGAGCTCAGAAGGAAGGAAGATGCAGACAGGGTGATACAGCCTTTGGAGGGACCTCTTCAAGGTGGAAAATGACCTCTGTGTGTGTCCTGGGTGTATGTCACCTCGCTGATTACAGAACTTGCGCACCATCTAGAAAATATATGCACAGCGTGTCCATGTAGAGTTTGGTGTCTAGAGGAAGTCAGGGACCCTGTGAACTCAGCTCTAGGGTCCCAGGCTCATGTCAAGGAACCCCAGCTGTCTGCCCTCAATGCCAAGCTAGGTCAAGAATGTTCTATCTCTCCTAAAGGATGGTGTACATGGTATCCTTGCCCACCTTGTTGGGAGAGAGTTATGGAAACCGAGGAGCTACATAGATGGCAGCAAATGTCTGTCACTTAAAGTAGATATTTGAGCATCATGCTTTGCTTTTTACTTTCTAAAATGGAGCAAATAACATCACCCACTTCAGAGGTTATAAAGACCCATGAGACCATATTTATTATTATTAATAATAATAATAACAAAAGAGCTCAGGCTAAGTGTGGCAGCTCAGTCCTGTAATTCCAGCACGCTGGGAGACCAGGCTGAGGCGGGAGGATCACTTGAGGTTGAGAGTTCAAGACCAGCCTGAGCAAGAGTGAGACCCCGTCTCTACTAAAAATAGGAAAATTAGCCAGGCGTGGTGGCACGTGCCTGTAGTCCCAGCTACTTGGGAGGCTGAGGCAGAAGGATCGCTTGAGCCCAGGAGTTGGAGGCTGCAGTGAGCTATGATGACGCCACTGCACTCCAGCCTGAGTGACAGAGCAAGACCCTGTCTTGTGAATAGATAAATAAATATATAAAATATTTAAAAAGGATTCATACAAATATTAATGTTAACCAAGAAGAGAATTACTCAATTCATTTCAGATGGTCTAAACACTTAAAAATGACAAATCATATAAAAACAAATAATGTTTTAAAAACTAATATTTTTCCTCAAATATAACTTTTTAAATTTAACTTAATTTTTCATATCAACAAATAATAATTATAGCTTTTCACAGAGTACATAGCGCCATTGCAATATGTATAATAATATAAAGGGATCAGATTACAGTAATTAGGGTATCTGTCATCTCACATGTTTATCTTTTCTTTGTGTGGGGAACATTCAATATCCCCCTTCTAAGCTATTTGAAACTATGTAACATATTATTGTTAAGTATAGTCATCCTACAGTGGTGTAGGAAACTAGACCTTATTCCTCCCATCTAGGTGTAACTTTGTATCCTTCAACAAATTTCTCTCTTCTCTGTTACCTTTATCCTTTCTAGCCCCTATTATCCTCTGTTGTACTCTTTACTTCTATGACATCAACTTTTTTAGCTCCCAGATATGGCATTTTTAACAATTGTTTAATACCTGTTTTGTTTTTGTTTTTGTTTTTGTTTTGGTCCCACCTATGACTTTCTTCTTCTCACCTTCCCTTTCAGCACCAGCGAACGTCTGAAGACATCCAGATCCCTTTGAGAAAAACTCAACCAAGACAGGAACCCCATTCATTCTTGGCATAACCCGCCGTGCTAAAGCGTGTTCTCTTCCGTGTGAAGCGGGTATGCTGCCCCCCCAAAGAATTCCCAGTGCCCTGGATGTGGTGTGGTCACAAAGATTTGTCAGATGGTGGGATCTCGAGTTGTAGAAAGATGGCTTGACCTGTTGGTACAGTCGTGCATGTGCACAGAGAAACTCCAGCCCTCTGTCCTGAGCTCTTCAACTACCGCATGGGGCAACATCACGCTCATGTCTCACCTGGTTCATGTCATGGTCAAGTCATGGTGGCAGCGGGAAGACCCACTATCTCAGTGGGGAGGGAATGTTATCACATTCTGAGAGATGAAGATCTTTGAGGTTGCCAAGAAGCTCTTTGAGGTCAGAAGAAGCTTGCCCTGCGCTAAATTCTTCAGCGGTGTCAAAAATGATTGAGCGCTGAAGTCCAAAGTGCTGGAGCATTCACCATCGCGAATGAAGCGGGGGTGAATTGTTCCTAACACGCAAAAATAGTATTGGGTCTTCCGTTCATCTCTGATGTGACTGCACACGCAATTATTATCGCCCACGGAAAACACGGCTGCGTTTTGAAATTTTAAGCGCAAAATTACCGAAGTTAAAAACCATCTAAGGGGAAGTCAGTCTTGGGATACTTTTTTTTCCTAGGAAATCGTACGGTTTTGCTATGTGTTTGGAGAAGAGGAGACAGAAATAATGATTTTTTTTTTCAGATGTTGAGCCTTGTCATAGTATTTTTAGTCTTTGATCCTCTTTAAGGTACCAGTTCCTAAGGCAACAGCACTGCTTTCCTTGGTTTATACTTTTCCTATTCACTAAAGTAGAAAAATCTTAAATCCTTAGACATCTGAGAAGTCAGCTAGCTTTTTGCCTCTTTTTCAGAAATAA